CCACCCATGCCATACCAGCGGAAACAGGGATCACGCTGCCGCCACCAGCACCAGAGCCCAGCTACTAAGCCATCACCACAACTTCTATCACCACGCTAGCGTAATCGAATTGATCAGCAACACCTCAATCGCAAAAACTGGGCTTCTCTCTTTGGTCGGCAGGATCGCATTCGGGTGTGCCCCTCATTTGGTTAAAAATTCTTTAGCGATGACGCATAGCAGGCCAGCCACTGACGACGACATCACGCCAACAGAGTTCTGCCACAGAGCCGCGTGACCATTTTTCGACTACAAGCCCAGCAACCAGGGACACGATGTTCTCAAAGATGCCTGGCAGGGCTCTCATGGGTTTCTACGCTGGGGTCTCCACCTTCAGGGCTTCCCTTTGTTTATTTCAATTGTTTTTATCCAGTCTCTGACGCCGCCACCTTTTGGGTGGTGTTGGTTCAATCAGTCGTGTCCCGGTGTAGTACTGCCGCCCGTCAATGCTAAGATGAGGGTCGCATAATGATGAAGCCCAAAGCCGTCAGAACACTTCTACGATGGTTATCCCTTGTTCCGGGAACAGATTTCCGGATCCTGTTAGCCAGCGTGTCCTCGTTTCCAACCTCAGAGGTCGAGGATTTAGTGCGCAGCTGATCTGGATCGAAGCTCGTCTCGGAAGCAGGACGCCACGCGCCTCAATCAGGTCGATCTTTCTCTCCCAAGTTCGCGCAATCTTTCCAGCGATATGACGTCGAGCTGGAACTCGTCCTCCAGCCGTTGAGTTTGTTTTCAAAGTGATATGCTCATCGAACACGTCAAGATTTATCGTACATTGTCCGCAGGCGATCCCTTGAATGGTTTGCATGGACTTGTCCATGCCACCGCGTTCCCGAAAGGTAGAATTCGAGGAACCGGGGAAGCGTTGGATTTGGAATGCGTGCTCAATGCTTTTTCGGCGTCGTTTGGTGCGTCTTAGCTTGAGCGCTTTGTGAACTTACGTCTCGATCAACTTCGACTGACTGCACCAGCCAGTAAACCAAGGCGCTAGAGTTAAGATTTCGCTTCTAAAGTGAAGCCTTGTCGAACTTCAAGCAGCTTATTTTTGTCGATAACTGGTTATATTTCAATTTATGCGCCCAGATAAAGTCGAGCCACTGGCAACTGGCCAGTAATGGACAAAGCGAGGTTTTCACCGTGCGGGGTGCATAGGATTGATGCCGCCGCATCTTTCACTCGCGGTATCCCTTTGCCAGTCGAGTTCGAACTTGGAAGGATCGCAATAAAGAAGAGCTATATTTTGTTTTTGCTCCAGGGCATCGTAATAATCATCAACGGTCGTTTTAGCAGATCGTCATGCCATGTTGCCTTGCGCGAGAGCAGGGTCTCCCTCATTGTCGAGGAACTGGGTTCTATCATCCCAAATCGTCCATGGGAATATGTCGGCTGGCGTTACTTATTGATTGAACATATATTATATATTTTTAATATAAAAAATATGCGTCACTAATACGGACGAAAACTCGATCCTTTCCGAAAATTGAGTGAACCCTTAATGTTTAGAGCTGTGCGTCAATCCGTGACGATACAATCAACAATCCGAGCACACTCTGACGAAAACAAACGATGTTGGTGCGCTTTTTCCCAGCTTCGGCGAGAACGGCATCATCTTTCGGGGAAGGCTTTCGTATCAAATTTGGAATCCGACGATGATAAGTGAGAAGTCGTGAGAGACCCTTGGACGCGCCATCGTGAATAATACGACCATTAAATAAGCTTGGGAAACGAGAGTTTGAGCATCAACGGCAGCGACGTGGTTCATCAACTACACGGACCTCACGGAGAACCACACTTGAAATTACCAGAAGATTTGTCCGGCCGGTGTATTCGACCGTCGAGTTTGCTATGCGTAGAGGTATGGTTTCGACCAAAGCCAACTCACTGCGATGCGCAAAACACCTGGCCATTAAGCTGATGCGTTCCGAACCGATTTTGCATCCCGCTTATTTTGAGATGCTGGAGGGTCACATGCCCGTTTACCAAGCGCGCTGGGGCGGCAGGCTGGAGTATGAACCTACATTTGCTGCAATTACACTCACGCCGTCCTTGACGTAGCAGCAGCGAGGAGGTCCACTACACCATCGACAATACTTTTGCTGGAGTTACGACAAAGGTGAAGAATCCGGAGATTGGGCGCTTAACAAGATTTACCGCCACCCAGTATCTGGCACGGGCGTTAGCCATCCTGTAATACCGACTGTGCTGCATAACTGGAAGATCGTTGCGAAATAAGAGAGCGACACACGTTGTGGAATATCAATCTGAACGTGCAATACCCTCGCGATTGATAGAAGGACATTTTGATCCTGCCAGGCTGGTGGAAGAATTTCGCGGAATCAACGGCCGATCGTCAAAGGACCTCAGTCTCGCCTCCGTGATCCAGTAGGAGAGAGTACCCTGACGACCAAGTATGCGCTGTGGCTGGACATGCGATCCACGGACGACGATCGACTGCATGGTAGCGGGCGTTGCATCGAGAACGGCAGCGAGGGGATCACCATCCAAATTGCCAAGAAGGCTCAAACCGCCGGTAAATTAAATTTATATTTGTAGATGATTATGGATGTGCAGCTTAATATACAAGATGGAAGATTCGTGTAAGCCATCTATTGATATCGAACTGCCCCTTGATCCACATAGCGCCATCGTGTGTGGTCAGATGGGGTGTGGTAAAACGGCTTTCGTGCTGGACCTGCTGGAAGGATACTACAGGAACGTGTTCGATCACATCGTCATTACTGTCCGACGTTGCGGGTGAGCAAGACGTACACAGAGAGAGCGTGGGTGATGACGGATCCGGACGTGCACAGGGTGGATCCTGGAATGCGTCTGCAGGACTGGTTGACCACTTAACGTGTGTATGTGTTGTGAAAGTTCATAAGTAGTAATAGAAGGGGGTGGGTGGGTGGTGTGGTACTACCGCAGATGCAGCTTAGAGGCTAATTTGTGGGAATTAACCTGTATTTCTGGCACCTCAGCTTATACATTGTCAACGAATGTAACTGAACAGTGTTATCCCTGCACTGTAACTTTATCCATGTAGGACATGTCAGAGGTGCAGGAAATAAATTGTTTTCAGCATTTAAGATGAATTGAAAGTACAACTTCGTTTCTTGGAACTCGACTTCAAACGACACTACTTCCTCTTCACTGTCTCCTGAGTTAAAGTGTATTTAAGCTGTGTCACTTTAGCTGTCTATTTAAGCTGAATCGAAAGTACGACTTTGTTTCTTGGACCACGACTTCACACGAAACTACCTTCTTTTCATTGCCGCTTGCCGTCTCCCGAGTTGAAATGTTGTGGAATACTAATTGTCGATATGAGCAGAAGACAAGGATCGTCATCAATCAAACAGAAACAAGTGACTCAGGATGTTTTGATCAGGAAAGTCCAACGTGATCCCTGTAGGTATAGGGCTGGTGCCACATGTGACATGACTTCAAGAATGTCTGCTTACAAGAGTGATGGATGCAAAGCCAAGACGGTTTACTATGCTCCGTCCCAGAACCCTGCAATGAAAGAGGATAAACTCCTCAGCAAGCTTCCCGATAACCATCCACACAACGATCACAAATTGTCCAACTACAGAACCTCGGGGGATGGTTATGTGTATCTCATCGATATGAAAAAGAAATAACAGCAAGGATGTGACCTGGAGCTTTTTGTGACTGTGTGCCATTTCTTTGAATCATAGGACCCTTTGTGACATACTTGTTCTGGACTAATGTTTTCCATGCTGACACGCATTAGGAGCTGAACCAATGGAAAAGAAGCTGATTTCAACCGATTTCGCCTGAATCCACTGCAGAAAGTTTTCTGATGAATGTAACCTTTTGTTATCATATTTTGGAAATGTATGCCGACCATTTATTTATGGCCCCATCAGAGACGAGAAGACATAGAAAAGAACATGAGAACGAAAAGAATGATAACAAGGGAACGCAAGAAGAAAATGTAACCACAGTTTTGATGTGAAACATTTCATTGGGGCTTTGGAATCCTTCTGTGATATTCGAAACTTAACTTCTGGAGTGTAAAAAAATAGGACGTATACAAACCTTTGGATATACACATATCTTATTTTCCTTATTGTTTAATACATACATGTTGATGGACATGTGTTAAAATGTACTGTTGGCACGTTAATATAATGTACTGTTGGCACGTTAATATAATTACTGTTGGCACGTTAATATAATGTACTGTTGGCACGTTAATATAATATACTGTTGGCACGTTAATATAATGTACTCCTGGCACGTTAATATAAGTCCCAGATTTGTAAAATGAGGCAACCCGATTAAAAATAGTCGGTGAAATCACATGATTTTATGTTCTTATTATTACATTTATAAGATCGTGATATAGAATAAGTTGCAAAGCATTTAAGTTAATGATACATTTGATTTCATCCCATTTAAAAAATAAAATGTTTTAAACATTGTTTTAATTTTTCAGATATAATGTGATTCCTCTTTGTTGTGCAATGGCAATATATCCCGTGAAAACAGCTAACCATATTTATACTACTAACTATAGCAATACGACATGGTGTAGAGGTACTTTCTCAATACACAGTTTCTAAAAGTGTGCATGTGCTTGATATTTAAACAACAGTAGATAGCCATACACACACATGAGGCGATATATCGATTTCATGTAGTGTTTAAACATGTCGTATATACCTGCTTTGACATGGTGTAACGTCCTCGTCGAAGGCCTGAGGTTATCTTAATGCAACGCGATGATTCATCAGCAGGTAGCATACAAACAAGTAGGGTCAGACAGGCTATGTAATCTTGTGCATGAAATTTACCACTGAAGTGAACAGCAAAACACTGACATGTTTCACTCTGAATTTCGAATTTTACCAACACCATGTTCATGTGCACATCACAAAAACACCCAAAACAAATAAGAAACAAAAAGAAAAGAAAAAAAAGACCCCCCTCCCAAAAAAAAAACCCCAACCCAAAACAAAACACACAAAAACGTTTGTAATTGGCGTGTTTCCACGAACTTGTTAACACGTAGGAATGGAATAATCATTTTCTGAGTAGATAGCCATGCACTCACATGAGTGACTGAGTAAGTATTGTATTAGGTCGCTTTTAAGCACAATTACAGCATTATCACGGTGAGGGACACCAGAAATGGGCTTCACACATTGTACCCATGTGGGGAATCTTTGACAGGAGACACAAAGAATGGGTACTGATTTGTTCCAGTTTTTGGAATCGAACCCCGAACCCCGAAGGTACCAAAGTACTTCACCAGAAAACGTATCCTTCATTAAACTCGATTACGCGAGTAGTAACTATTTATATGTAGCCTGTTAACAATGCCTGTACGTTGTTAATCACTACCTCGGGGTGTTAGTTTCTGCGACCAAATAATATAGACACATTGAATAGAACATATTCCGTGACTAAACTCTGTGAGATAGTTGTACGTCTTGCTCACAGTTGGGAGTTCATGTCCGGGTTAGAAATGGTCTTCCGCATCTCCTTGTCGTAAGAGGCGACTATCGGGATCGGGTCGTCATCCTCGATGACTTGGCTGACATTACATGTCATCGTGTCCCAATACAAATGCTTTGGGATTTTCTGACCCAGACCGCCGCCACATTGCTATACAAAGAATAAAACAGATCATTTTGATAACAGAAATAATGTGTATCTGTTTATGGTGTAAGGACGTAACTCGATGGCTTTTGAGGACACTGATATCGTGGTACGTTAACTGCACTTAAAAGAATGAAAGGCTAGAAACACAAGTTTAGCCTGAGTACAAGTTCTGGTTGAACGGGATATACATCCGCACAACCAAGACCGCCCCACGTACACTCAGACACGCACGCATGCTCGCACCCATTACACACAATCTATATATATATGTTTGTATTCATATATATATTTGTATATATAATAAAAGAAATATATAACAGTTAGTTATTACAAATAAATACAGTCGAAGTAATTTTACGGCTGTTTTTTTAAATGGTTTACACACTAAATTCCTCTAGACAGTGTCTATTTAGCCATAACTCGTTCCTGCAACAGTTTGTGAAAAATAACCGATGGCTGGGAAGTTTCGATTAAAGATCAGTTGCTACAACCACATCCCCCGTACCATATCAAAATTTGTAATTTTGTCCCTAAAAAGCAAAAAGTAAACCTTTTGTTTCTGCATTAGATTTTAAAAAGTTTAATACCATGTACAAGTATTCTGTGAGTGCTATCTCCTTCCCGTCTTCTTTCTTCTCCTCCTTGGCAATTGGTTAGGCCACAAGTCGACCTAACACTCACTAAATTTACAAAATCAGAAACTAATGACTTACAATATAAACAAGAATTATCAATTAAAAAGTAAATATAATACATGTACATATAAATCCTTATTTACCGATGGGTCCATGGATGATAGCGCAGTGGCCTGTGCCATATATACTACAAACGAAAGTATGGTAATGGGCACTGCAAACGACATTTTGGAACATGCAGTGAAGCAACTGATTCAATATTCGTTGAGTTTGAGAGAAATGAAACATTGTCAAAAACAGCGAAAAACAAGGGTGCTGAAACACACCAACACCATGTTTGATTCAAACGCCTGAACACAACAGCCTAGTGCATGTGGAAGACAGACAGACAGAAGCACGCACGCACGCACGCACGCACGCACGCACGCACGCACGCACGCACGTAGGTATTCCTGGCACTTCAGCCTGTACCATTTCAACACTTGCAACTGAACAGCGATATCCCGGCGCTGTAACTTTAGCTGTGTATTTAAGCTGAATCGAAAGTACAGCTTTGTTTCTTGGAACGCAACTTCAAACGACACTACGTTCTTTTCATTGCCACTTACCGTCTCCACAGTTGAAGTGTTGTGGAATACTAATTGTCGATATGAGTAGAAAAGAAGAATCGTCATCAAACAGAAACAAGTGACTCAGGCTGATTTGATCAGGAATGTCCAGCATGATCCCTGTAGATATCGAGTAGGAGCCACAAGTGACGTGTTTTCAAGAATGTCTGGTTACAAGAGCGATGGATGCAAAGCCGAGACGGTTTACGTTACTCCGTCCAAAAACCCTGCAATGAAAGAGAATAAACTCCTCAGCAAGCTTCCCGCAGACCATCCACACAACGTTCACAAAGTGAGCAACTACAGCAAGTCTGGTGAGGGTTTTGTGTATGCCATCGATATGAAGGTTAAATAGATGCAGAGATGTGACCTGGAGCTTCTTGTAGTTGTGTGCCATATCTTTGAATCATAGGACCCTTTGTGACATACATGTTCTGGACTCATGTTTTCCATGCCGAAACGGATTAGGAACTGAACCAATGGAGAAGAAGCTGATTTCAACTGATTTCACCTGAATCCACTGCAGATAAGTTTTCTGATGAAAGTAACCTTTTGTTATCATATTTTGGATATGTATGCCTGCCATTTATTTATGGCCTCGTTCAGAGACGAGAAGACAAAGAAAAAGGCAAGAAAAAGGACATGAAAACGAAAAAGAACGATAACAAGGAAAGAAAGAAGAAAATGTAACCACAGATTTGATGTGAAACATTTCATGGGGGTTTTGGAATCCTTCTGTGATATTCGAAACTTAACTTCTGGAGCTGGGTAAATGTAACTCTTTGGATATACATATATATTATTTTCCTCATTGTTTAATACATACTCATACATGTTGATGGACATGTGTTAAAATGTACTGTTTGCACGTTAATATAATTATTGTACTGTTACCACGTTAATATAATGTACTGTTGCCACGTTAATATAATGTACTGTTGGCACGTTAATATGATGTACTGTTGGCACGTTAATATAAGTCCAAGTGTTGTAAGGGGGTGGGGGTGGTGGTGGTGAGGCATTTTTGGTCGGCCATTTTTTTTATAACATCACATAGGTGTGACATTTGTGTGACCTAATCGACTGTTGAACCCTTAAGCCCCACCCTCCTTTGGGAGTCCCCTTTCCGGCCCAGGTGTGTGTGACCTTCAGGTTCACCTTAGTGGTGTGTGATTATTATTCAATTATTTTATGAGTTTTCCGACTCAAGTGTTCACGCAGCAAAATCTTTTGTCAACGTAGAATTAATATCACACTATGCATATGAGGTCGAATTTAGCTGCTATTTATTAGGTCAAAAGTTGTGAAAATATCAGAGCACCTTTTGTTAAATCAAAGGTATCTCTAGCCAGTTTAAAATACGCTGTCATTTGCTACACAAGGAACAACTATGAAGTTCTGAGTATTTATTTTACATATCTGTGAACAATAAATGATTGTAGCTGTTAGCATATACAATTCATGCGCCATGTGGGCCCCGTATATGACATGCGTGAATGGGGCGCTGTCTATGCACTAACAGCACAATTGCTTGCTCGCTGAGCCGGGCCGTAACTGAAGAGACATGTGACAGCTGTGATTGGATGAAATAGTGTAAGGTGTTATGTTTGTTAAAAGCACCTCCATCCAGTCATTAAAACTGACCACCATTTTAAGTATTTAATGCTGTCATTTGTATCACTTATGCTTATGCGTGTACAGATATGTTCAAGTAGGTGACAGTTTGTGCGGACCTGAGGGGTTGATGTGTTCAGCTTCCTGTGTGTGGCTTCCTGTGCTCGCAAAGTTAGCCGGTTCAAGTTGACCAGAAATTGTTTTATTGTAATTTAAAGGTCAGACTGTAATCATGTGTACATGGAATGGTTGTTGATAATTTTCAGCGTGATGGCGCACAGCCTACAATGAATGTATAGTCACAAGTGGTCAGCTTCCGTTATGTAGGGAGAGAAGTGTCTGACCGGAAGACAGGAAATAGTAAGCAGTTGAGGACTGATGGTCACTGAATATCTCAAGTAGGGTGTCAAGTGGTTGTACAGTGATGAAATGATTTAGCATTTGTCATATATATTACTGAATAAGAAAACAAACCTACATGTGTTCTCCTGTAAAACTTTCCAGTGCTTTTACTCAACATTTTAAAGCTGAACTTTACTCTCAAACTGCAAACATAAAAAAAAATCTTATGTCCATGAATACTATATATGACCCTTATTTGACATCATGTGACACATGGGTTACTCACATGCCGTTAGCCGCTCTTATTCCACAGACAGTACAATGAAATACTGGTGTAACTTGTGACTGTATTGTATTGGGTATAAAGAGGTTAGGACCTCCTGGTGTTAATAATTGTATTGTAGGTTAAATGTATTCATTGATATAGGGAGGGTTATTCATCAGTTGTAAAACAAAGATTTGTACAACGAACAGTTGCCTAATGTCAATCCTCCAGCAATGCATTAAGTGAGTGAGTGAGTTTAGTTCTATCTTGCACTCAGTAATATCCAAGCTATATGGTCTGTAAATAATCGAGGTGTGGGGTATGAAGAGGTTGGGACCTTCGGGTATTAAGAATTGTTTTGTAGGTTAAATGTATTCAATGACATAGGGAGGATTATTTATCAGTTGTAAAACAAAGATTTGTCTAATGTCAATCCTCCAGCAATGCATTAAGTGCGTGAGTGAGTTTAGTTTTATCTTGCACTCAGTAATATCCCAGCTATATGGTCTGTAAATAATCGAGTCTGGACCAGACAATCCAGTGATCAACAGCATGAGCATCGATCTACCCAATTGGGATATGATGATGAGATGTGTCAACCATGCCAGCGAGCCTCACCACCCGATCCGGTTAGTCGCCTCTTACGACAAGCATGGGTTCCTGTGGGTTCATTCTAACCCGGACCTTCACGGGTACAATACATAAAGAAACAAGAAAGATATACAGATTTCATTGTTTATTAGCTCCGTTTCAAATGAGTAGGCTTTAGGATAGGAGCTCTCCCAAATGTCTACTTTACATGTTGCGCTAATTGTCTTATTGCCCTTCCTCATCGTCCTGTCCTTCACTCTCTACATCAGATGTCATGTCTTCATCATCATCATCAATTAAATCTTCTACCCACGATTTATATTGTTAAAGTTTGGAAAACACGTCATGATACAGATTATTTGTGTCACCTACACCTTTCAGTATTCCTTGTGCCTTTGGACCCCACTGCATATGACACAGATCAGTAATAAATCGTCCTCTTTTTGACAATTTCTTGAATTCTATACTCCTGATCAGGATTTTCTACCACTGCTTGTAGCTCTGATGATTAAAAGGCACCTTCGATAGGATCACCACCCCAATCTTTAAGCTTGTACAAGTCGTTGCCTTGAGACCAATATCTTCTTATTACTGTAAACATTTCACCAGACCATTTCTCTTGATATTCTCTGTCAAAAGTCCTCTTCAGATGACTCACTCTGACTTTATCACCCACCTTGAAGGTGAACTTCTTTTTATTGTGTTTATCGTTTGGGGGTTTAATCAAATACTGAGAGAGTCTCACTTCATTTTCATTTTTCTCAGTCACACTAGCAGGAGACTGTCCTAATATTCTATGTTTAGTATTGTTGTAACTCTTGACTACATCTAGTAAGATATCCACATATCTGTAGGTAAAGTGTTTCAACATGTATCAATACAATCTCATTTTAATGGTTTTAATCACTCTCTCAGCATAGGGGGCCTTTGTTTCATTCAGTGTAAACAGCTGGGTTACCTTGTGCTTTTTCAAAAAGGCTTTCACCCATTGATTCTTAAATTCTGAACCCATGTCAGATTGAAAAATACCAGGCCTATGATCTTGTGTCTTCCATAATTCATTCAATGCTTTCACCACTTCTTGCCCCTTTGTTGACATCAGCAGAAGTACCCACAAATAACGTGAAAATAGATCTATGATGACTAATAAATACTTCACACCATCGTTGTACTTTGCCAGTGAAACCATAGCCATGAGATCTGATTGCCAGTGGCTATCAAGACCTTCGATCACATACTCATTTCTTGGAAATGTTCTCCTAACTTGATGAGTCATGGTATAGGTGTCTTGTCCTTTCAACCATTTCTTAATTCGATGCACACCAATTTCAAACTGATCCTCAGCGTTCACAGCTTCGTACAGTTTCTTGGGTCCAGCAAAACTACCAGGATGTTTGGGATCGTAAAAGATCCTATTCAAGTACTCTTCCCAAGGTGCCATCTCAAATACTGAACATGATTCACATACATCATGCTATTTATACAGATATAAAAAAGCAGTATGCAATACAAAACAAATCAAGGACGATATTTACAACAATACCCTTCAGAATGGGTCAGACTACATTTTGATGAATCCCTTGAGGTAATATCAGGGTACTTCCCATCAACTGTGTTATAAAGAAAACATAACCCGGGTGCAGACCAACCTGAACCTGAAGGTCACACACACCTGGGCCGGAAAGGGACTCCCAAAGAGGGTGGGACTTAAAGGGTACAACAGTCGATTAGGTCACACAAAGGTCACACCTATGTGACGTTATAAAAATAAAATGGCCGACCCAAAATGCCTCAAACACACACACACACCTCTCCAAGATTTGTAAAATGAGGAAATTCCATTAAAAGATAGTCCGTGAAATCACATGATTTTATGTTCTTATTATTATATTTGTAAGATCGTGATATACTACAGGTTAGGTGTCAAAGCATGTAAGTTAATGATGCATATATTTCATCCCGTTTTTAAAAAATGTTTTAGACTTTTCACTTAGAATGTGATTTCGCTTTGCTGTGCAATGGCAATACATCCCGTGGAAGCAGCTAACCATATTTATGCTACTGGCTATAGAAATATGACATGGTGTGGAAATACTTTCTCAATGCACAGAATCCAAGAATGTGCTTGTGCTTGATATTGAAACACAAGTAGACGATATAGACACTCACATGGGACGATATATCGATTTCATATACCTGCTTTGACATGGTGTAACTTTATCGTTGAATGCCAAAGGTTATCCTAATGCAAATGAGAAACAGCCACACGGCGACACATCACCAGGCAAACTACAAACAAGTAGGTTTATACAATAATCTTGTGCATGTAATTTATCACTGAAATGAACAGCAACTTACTGACATGTTTCACTCTGAATTTCGAATTTGAACCCCACCATATTCACGTGTACATCATAGGGGCGGTGAGATAGCCTAGTAGCTAAAGCGTTCGCTTGTCACGGAGAAGACCCGTGTTCGATTCCACACATGGATACAATGTATGAAGCCCATTTCTGGTGTCCCCCTCCCCACTCCCCGGAATATTGCTAAAGGCGGCGTACAACTAAACCTTTAGAGCACCATTTGGTAAAGAGTTAGCATGCACATTGGATGGATATTATACACAGAAGCTACAAACTGGGGGTACTGCAGGGAGGTCGGGTAAACTATATACTGGACAAAATAAGTTAGGGATATTGGTATTTTTATGATTGATATTTTATCAGTGTGTCAATGAATAAATAGATCATTATTCATAATTTCAAAATTTACATATATCCCTAACTATTTTCGTCCAGTATATTACTTCGTGAGTGTGTTTGTGAGTTGTCTTTCATCTATTAACATCTTAGTAGAATCTCTGACAGGAGTGAGTGAGTATGGTTTAACATCGCTTTAGCAATATTCCAACAATTTCACGACGGGGGACACCAGGGTTGGGACTCGAACCTTGACCTTTGGCGTGACGAGCGAACACTTTAACCACTGGGCTACCCCACCGCCCCATTAGTCGTTATGAAAAACCAACGTCAATATAGTTGACGCTTCACACATTGTACTCATGTGAGAAAGCTCTGACAGGCGACATAAAGAATGGGTAGTATTTTGTTCCTGTGTTTGAGATTGAACACCGGACCTGCGTCCCCCGAACGGGGTCTACGTCCCAATCTCAGGTACCAAACGCTCCACCCGAAAACTTGCCCTTTATTAAACGCGAGTAGTGACTACCCAGTGCTTTTTGGATTACTTTCCAAAAAGCGCCGTAAATAATATGAAAAGAGATTTTACAGTGATATGTAAGTCACAGACTTTCCTAATATGTTCGCTGACTTAGTTCACACATGTCATCGTGTCGCAATGCTTTTGATCACAGACAAATGTGTATCTGTATATGGTGTAAGGGACATAACTCGATGGTGTTTAAGGACACTGAATCCGTGGCACGTTAACTGAACTTAAAGAATGAAACAACAAGAAACACAAATTTAGTACAAGTCCTGGTTGAAGGGGATATATATCCCAACACTTAAGTTCCCGCACGCACGCACGCACGCACGCACGCACGCACGCACACACACATATATATATACTCATGCCAATAATGGTTGTCAACCCCCAGCCTATTAATAAAATTGAAGGGGTCGACAACCATTATTGGCATGAGTATATATAATCTATAATATGTATGTATATATATAATGTATATGTAAATTGTTCACGCATATATATTCACTTACTTAGATTTAGACTTTAAGCATTGTTTGGCCGTTTGTGTTTTGGATATAAATACGTGAAAACAAAAGACATGTATCTATGTCTCAATAAAAGCAAAATATAAAAGTTAGTTCTTGCAAATAAATACAAGATATATAACTTCACGGCTAGTTGTTTAATCATTTACACTTTATTCCTCTAGACACTGTGCATCACAAGTCCTGGCCAATCTGTTCCCGTGATATGTTGGTCAACCTGGCATACAGCCATCAGCTGTATTGTGTTTGAAGGGTTCTGCCGTGACAGCATGTGGGATCGGGGGCGGTGGGGTAGCCTAGTGGTAAAAGCGTTCTCTCGTCACGTCGAAGACCCGGGTTCGATTCCCCACATGGGTATAATTTGTGAAGCCCATTTCGGTTGTCCCCTGCTGTGATATCGCTGGAATATTGCTAAAAGCGGCGTAAAACCAAACTGATTCTCTGATACCATGTGAATGTATTCTGTGAGTGCTGATAAGTGCTGGTTCAATGCCTGTGATAGAATGTTGGCAGGTTAAAATATCTTCAATTAAAATCAAACAAAACACGTAAATTGAACTGAGAGGAACATTTCCTGTGCCCTACAGTTTAGTAGGATTCAGAGTCCTCTAATGATCATTTTCCCTGGTTGGAAACACGTTACTTTTGAAGAATTATAACAATATGAATTTATGAACATCTTTATTACCATTCATCAACATTCATCGCAAGACATATGTCTTTACACATTGTAATAAGCTAAACATAAAAGATGATGTTTAAAATCTAAATATAAACAGATTTGAAAAAATGGCATATTTTATTTTATTTCTTCCCCGCATATATAATTGTGAAAGCTGTCTGTCATATGCATCCTGCACCCTATATCCTACTAACTTTACCTTTGGATAAAACCCTATACTTTCTACAGTGCCGAATTGCTTACCAAATGTAATGGTACCTAGGGATATTTGAAGACACCCGGTGTTTACTAGGGCTGGCTATTTATATAGATCCAAGAGATCGATAATCGTTAACTAAATATTGATCAATTATAAGATAAATATCGGACGGGTAACTTTAAGCAAAACTGCCCAAAATGTCTGAAACAAATTAATATATTTCACATCACTGAGTAAGTAAACACACAGACACACAGACACAGACACACAGAGACACAGACACACATACACAAGACAGAGACAAAACACACATACACAAGACACCGACACAAACAAACACACAAACAAGTAAGGTATTTCTGGCACATTTCAACACATGCAACAGAACAGTGATATCCCTGCACTGTAACTTTATCTATGTAGGTCATATCAGAGGTGCAGACAATATCGCTATCAGCATTTAAACTGAATCGAAAGTACAACTTCGTTTCTTGGAACTCTATTTCAAAGACCCTACTTGCTCTTCATTGTCACTCATCGTCTCCCCGAGTTAGAGAGTGGGTACTGTCAAACGCCGTTGAGTCGAATTTTGATGTGTCGATGTAGAAGCTCGGTTCCTGCGTATTCTTTGTTTGTCATTATTTTGTTGGGGCGGTGGGTAGCCTAGTAGCTAACGCGTTCGCTCGTCTCGCCGAAGGTCCGGGTTCGATTCCCCGCTTGAGTACAATGTGTGAAGCCCATTTCTGGTGTCCCTCGCCTGATATTGCTGGATAATTGATAAATGCGGCGTAAAACTAAACTCACTCACCCACCAGTTTGTGTTTCTGTTGAACCCCAGTCCAACGTTACCAGTTATGTGCGGTCACCGAGCTTGACCACCAAGCTATGTTACAGTGAGACAGAGAGACAGACAGAGACAGAGACAGAGAGAGAGAGAGAGAGAGAGAGAGAGAGAGACAGAGAGAGAGAGAGAGAGAGACAGAGACAGAGAGTGAAAGAGAGACAGAGAGAGAGACAGAGAGAGAAGAGAGAGAGACAGAGACAGAGAGAGAGAGAGAGGAGACAGACAGACAGAGAGAGAGAGAGAGAGAGACAGAGACAGAGAGAGAGAGAGAAGAGAGAGAGAGAGAGACAGACAGAGACAGAGAGTGAAAGAGAGAGAGAGAGAGAGAGAGAGAGACAGAGAGAGAGAGGAGAGAGAGACAGAGAGAGAGAGAGAGAGAGAGAGAGAGAGAGAGAGAGAGAGAGAGAGACAGAGAGAGAGAGAGACAGAGAGA